AGCTTTACAAGTGAAAACCAAGTGGTTGCCAGAAGAAACGATGAGGATAGGACTTCAAGTGAACATAGAGAAGAAAGAGGTGATGAAGATACCCGACTGATAAACAACAAGAAGCATCGATCGCTATCAACAAGCGAAATTCCAAGAATATAACTTCTTTGACTTATCTCTGCAACATTATTGGGTGTGAAAAAATTGAACTCTGCGGTAGTAAATAATCCCCTATTAATTTGTTTATTAGTGAGACAGTATTATTTACTAGATGACTCAATTTTAAGCGCAATTTATTATTGTTTGTAATCATATCATATATAAACACACGACTTCGAAACTTGAGTTTTATAGTTTTCTTTATTCCTTCCCATTCATCTTAGTGGTAAAAGAATTTTCCAGATATTCGTCTGAGACAGTTGTCGAATCATTCCTATTACACGTATTTACAGTTGATTCGATAAACAAAGCTTCTGTAACCAATCTCTCCCTCCAACCTGCCACAACATTAGATTTTAAAACTGTCATCTTATCCCATCCAGTCTATTAGTGTGGTTGGGTGTAATTACATGTGGTCAGTTTTATAGCTGAACTATTCTCTAGATTTCTTACCTTATTCGGGTCAACTAATTTAGATTTTGCTAGGTTTCTTTGCTCGGCTAGTCTGACTGCACCTGTTCTACTACTTTCACCTATGTATTTCACCTGACGATCATTGCAGACGGCGCATTAGATAAACTAAATTGTTTTGTTTAATTGGCTCCACAGGATTGATCCTTTAACCAACAAAGCTTGTTTCTAATAGAGTTTGTGGTTGGTTTGAATGCCAGCCACTTTTATTCCTGCCTTGTAAATAATTCAGCGTAAGATTTCCGAGGTTCCTTATTTGTATGGGAGTGTTACTGATGATTTAAATTCCCTATTGCTGGTGTTGTCATTATTCTGTGCATGTTTGACATGCATGTCATCATTAACATTATTATTACTATTATTATCACTATCACTACTATCATTATTTATTTCATTTTTACATTTCCCTACACGCTTTCTGACTAATTTATCAGGGTAATTATTAAGTTTTAAAGCTTCTCTTATATACCTCACTTCTTGTCTTGGAATTTCCTTGGTACTACTTAGTTTTTGTGCTCTATTACTTAAACATTTCATCAATCCTAGTTTTACTGACATAGGAAAGGGATGATCGGAAGTCCAAATATCTGTTTGAATGTGTGGGTTTCCCGTTAACACTACAAACACTCGGCAGCTTTGTTTTAGCTACATGCGGAACGGATGAAAACTTCAAAGTCAGGATCAGAAAAGCAAAGCAGACCTTCACTGATGTGAAATTAGCATTGAAATCTGCTGCACTCAGAATAGCAAATAAGGTTCGGACATTCAACGTCAGTCACTTCTTCTATATGGTTCAGAGGCTTAGTGTATCCCCAAAACCACTTTCAACAGGCTACTGAAGACTTTCATCAACAGCTGCCTTCATTGGCTCTACAGTGAAGATCAGAGGGCCAAAAGGGATGGGCAGTGAGCAACTCTGGCACGTGGCGAACCAATCAAAAACCTACTACCCAAAAAATATACCAAAGAAAGTTGAGATGGATCGGATACACGCTGAGAAGACAGTTGAGTGAAATCCATCGTCAGGTCATCGAGTGAAACCCAACAAGGGAAACGATGATTTAAGTGTTGGTGTGAGGGTGACACAGCGGAGGTCTCATAAGGAGGTGATGGAAGCATAGGAACAACCATGGAGCCAGCTAAAGGGGACTGCAGAGAACAGGATGAAATGGAGTTGTTCTGTTGAAGCCCTATATTCCACTCGGGACTTAAACGAACACTTACATAAGGCTGTATGATATATGGAGTAGACCTAAGGAAATGGACGATAGCCTATTGACAATATAGTCAAACTGACAGTGCTACAACAACAAATATTAAAGTAGTTACTTGTTGTATTCTTAATAGACGTTGTGACATCAAACCCTATCTGGTTTCCTATATTCAGATACCTGGAATTTATTTGAGTACATCGGCTTTAGGAGTTTACATACCCTAGACTTTGTCATCACATTGATAGGAATTCTGTGAGATCTGTTATCTTCAATATTCTAAGCAAATAATCAATGATCACTCTGAAATGCTACTTTTTTTTCCTTTCATCGCATTTCGAGTGAAATGTAGAACTTCGAGTTTTGAAGTTTCAGTTATTAGATGTACTGTTTGGGGGACTGAGGTTACTACAGCCATGCCCAATTTTCTTTCTGCGCCGTAGTTACTAGAGGCTGGTAAACTAGGCAAGGTCTAGGAGTGCATCATTCAGGAATCACACCAGGACCTCTCACGTGGCGAGTGAGCAATCTACCACTAAACTGTCTAATTCTAGACTTTTGAGCTTAGTTTATGTAATACGATATTATTATTATACTATTTTTGTATCCTTTAATTCCTAGGGGAACATAGGGCTTCAGCCGTGCTTCTTCATTGTGTTCAGTTCTCTGCTAGAGTATTCACCTGGCTCCAAGTTTGCCTACACGTTTTCATCTCCTCTTCACATGACCTCCTCCAAGTCACCCACCCTTGCACTGACGACCAACTCGCCACTTCCCTTTCGGGTTCCACTCGAGCAATGGCTTGTCTAGTGATGTCGCTTGATGGTTTGTTTCCTCAGATTATGGCCAGCCAATCCATCTCCATTTCTTCCTGCCTATTTGTTTCACAATCGGTTCCTGATGAGTTGGTTCGCTCATTGCCAGAGATCTCTGTTGCTGATCTTTTCTGGCCGGCCATCTGATCTTGAGTATTGAGCGAAGACAACTGTGAATGAAGGTCAGTAGTTTGTTTGAGATGCTCTTTATGACGCGCCAGGTAACCAACCGTAAATTCAACTTACTTTGCATCAGCCGTCATTACCAAGTAATATTAGAAATAAAGTCTTGGAACAGTATACAGAACGAAAGTTCCGTCTTTCACAAAAAAATTTTTTCCACTTGTTGGTTTGCAGAGATTTGATTGATTTCAACACTGTTGACTCATTGACTCCAGTTACAGAATACTTGAAAATTAATCTAGTGTTCACTAGTGACTGACCGGAGAATGATTAAGTCGCCTAAAGCCGCGACCAGTGCGGTCCAGCAAGTTGGGTGTGAGGACAAATACTCACCAGTGTTTTTGACGTGGTTGTGTTCTCTGAGCTAGCTGGATATTTAATTTGCGAAGCTTTCATCGCCCTACTAGGCAACATCTTCAGCGCATACTTCAATTCGTTGAATTGAGCTTTTAGATAGGACATCCACTCCCCATATTACTGCATACAGACAACCACAGACATGAATTCGACTGGGACAACCAATGTTCAAATATTAGACAGAAGAAACTCCAAGAATGCTAGAGAATTTTTAGAAGCAGGCTTGGTATTCAAGTGAATCATCAATCAATAGACACATCGACATAGACAAAATTTACCAACCGATAAGGAGGAAACCTCACACACAAAGGCTCAAAGTTTAAGTCAAAGAAACAATCAGTTCCAATGCAAATAGCCTAGAGGGTGTGAAAACAGACAGGAAAAACCAATCACCCTTAAGGTCACCAGGAGAGATGACTAATAAAATCGTGAAGAAATCTAAAAGCTAACTTCAAAGAATTGAAGTATGCGCTGAAGATGTCGCCTAGTAGGGCGATCAAAGCTTCGAAAATTAACTATCCAACTCTTTGACCACAACAACATTAAAATTACCCACCTGAGCTAAAAATCTTCTCCATCATATCTAAACTCACCAATGTCATTGGGTGACAATGAAGCCAGATATCACGAATTGGCAGAAGTTAAATTAATGAGCCACTGAATTCCTTCCCAATGGCCTAACAATAGTAGACGACCTCCCCTGTAACCTGAAGATGTGCTAGGTTCGACTCCTGATGAGTTTATGGGTGCGTACTGAAGAACGATACCGAACAAGGATGAGAGAGCTATCCACTACTACTTCCTGGTTTTCAGTAATTCTCTAAGTGAAGTCAGTTCTTGATTCATCTTGGAAAATATTTTGTCTTCATGAAACTATTGTTATCACTGGATGGAGCTTATAATAGCCGTAGGTTTTAATATTTTTAGGTGAATTAAGGAAGCCTTAACAACGAATCATGACTAGCAAACCTATCTAACACGGTCTGACAATATTCAGCACAGTTTCTTTTGTCTGAAAGAAATACATATTGCGATGTAACAAATAAAATCCATATGACATTTAAATCGGCTGGTTTGAACTGTTTCGGCTGTCTAAGCTGAGTCAAAGCAGGTACAATGCTGATGAGCTCAGCCCCAAACTACTGGAACGACTAGAAAAGAGCTACCGGTTGATGTAGGTGCTATGCAACTACTTATCTCAATCAATCAGTAGTATAAATTTTTATGCGAAAATACCGGCTTTCTTGATTACCACTTATGGTAGCAAGCAGATCACACATATGGTGCGTGATCTGAGTAACTTGGTTTCCAAAGGAAACTGCAGTGAAATTACACCACTTGAACAGTGTCAATTTAAAGCTGGTTAGCAATTTACAAACTGTGAATTTGACATTTAAAAAAGGTTTATCAATAGGTGAGCATGTGGTGAGGACTGTCTGCAAGCCAAAATTGTAGACACCAATTTACGTCAGTGTTTAAGTCCCGAATCGGGGTGACGTGATAAAACAATAACAAAGCCTAGCCTTGAGGAACTTAACAACCAATCACAGCAAACTTTGCGTGAGTGGATACGATTCGCAGATATATCAACGGACTGTCTAAGAAACAGCAACAAAGAGATGACAGAATAACCTTCAGCAGGAAAACAACCAATCAGAAGACGTTGCTTCTCTGCTAACAATAACGAATAATAATATACATAAAAATCTATAAATATCTCTTGATTTTCTCAATAAACGATCTGTTGCCTGGCTCTTGTCTTCTGTCGTTACAAGTATATCAGTATGTGAAAACAGAAAAAAATGAGACGTACCTCAGTTGTTTCTGTAAATGTAAACCATAAACGACCAACATCCTCAACTGCAGACGCCTCAATGACCAAACCAGACTCCTCTTCTAACTCTCGAAGTGCAGCAGCTTTAGGATTTTCATCATCCGATTGAACTTTACCACCAAAACCATTCCATCTGCCTTTGCCAAAACCACGTTGTTTTAAGCCTAATAGTAACCAGGACGTGTTCTCATTTGTGCACAATTCTTCAGGATGAACCTAGGATATAAAAGATATATTTTTTTAAAAACACATTTTATGACCTCTTAAAATATTCTTAACCTGCGTTTTACTAGAATTTTGACTGCCTAAGTATAGTCAAGTAGAAAAAAAGTATTCCGCCTAGAATTCAAGTAAAATTGATGCTACATATCGACGGAAGTTTTATGTAACCAGGCTGTTGAGAAACTCAATCAATTATATCAACAACAAAAAAATTGTCACTTGAAAAATATTATATATTTCTGCAGCATACTCTCAACAATCTAATTTTTTTTATTCCTTTACGTTCGCAATGGCTTCAAGTTTCGGTAGCAGTGGTGATTATTTTTTTTACAAGATGGGGTTGCTGGCTTCATGCCCGACCTTCCCTCTTTACTAGTAGTATCAGCAGCTTAGTGAGATAAAGGAGTGCGTCGTCCGGGGTTCGAACCCCACACCACCTGCGTGGTTGGCGAACATCCTACCGCTTCGCCACCGACGCTAAAAAGTTCTAATGAAAGCAAGAAAATTTATATGGAAATGAGGGCATATAAGGTCGGTTAAAATAGGCACGCTATAAGAGTAAGAAGGATGGACGAAGGAAGAATCGCGTCGTTGGCTCAATAGTAGAACACTGGCCAACCACACAGGTGGTTCAGGGTTCGATCCCCGGCCAACATAGACTTCTACCTCACTAGGACGGTAATAAGCCCGGTGAAGAGTGAAGGTTGATCTAGTAAACCCATCCCGTGAAAAAAAATACCACAGCTACTGAAACTTCGAAGCTCTAGCTTGAAGCCGTATGTTCCACTGGGAACGAAAATGAATAGAAAAAAATTATAAAATAAACAAGGGAAGAATAATACGGTAGTAGTGACATCAGTCTTGATATTATGAATAGATAAGAAATATCAAGGTAGGTTGAATGCAACTGTAAGTTATTTCTGCACAAACAATTGGAAGGAGCTTCAACATGCAGATGACTCTTGTCTCAATATATCTCACTATCAGCTCCTAAGTGTTTTTGTAGAAAATCTTGAATACTTACGACTCATAATTTCTGATATTAATGAAGTTAGTCATTTCACTCGTAAATTTATCCAAATTTGATAGCGGCTCTAACGGAAATCCGTTTTCTATGAATGTACCGATCAGCATTTTGTTATTGGCATCTATCGTATCAGCTATACACACAAACTAGATCTTACTAAACAGGTATTTGAACTAACCACCTCTATTTCATAATATACTAGGTAAAACAATGGAACCGTGATCACTGTCCTGTATAAGTAGGCTTACTGGAAACCAACCGTTTTATAAGACTGTTTTCACTCCCACTCAACAAGCGTATCTAGAAACTCATGTTAACTGCTGTTTTCATGTTTATAAGTAAAGTTTATATAATCTTGTATGTAATTAAGGCCTTATTAATAGTTCCATATAGCCAAGTTACGTACACCGTATCTTCAACGCACCATTTGCACAGATCTTCCGTGTTGTGCTACTTTGTATTTCTTCCACGTCTCCCATGTATCTCTCCACAACACTGTAACATTCGCTTTCTCTGTCATCAAATCTATCTCCTTGATATGTGGTGCTATTATACCGATGAACATCTCTTAATACATATATACTACTGATAAATCTTATCAGTAACACACGCCACGGTATGATCTTAAATTCATATAGCAGAACAAATTTTCAACCTCACTCAGTTTACTAGTTCGCTAGCTTACTAGCCTGTCTTAAGTTCAGGTAAAAACCAACAAGTTGGCAGAAGAAGGTGAAAATACCAAAGCAACAGACACCAATCACCATAAACGAGAGATATCTAAGAGGAGTCACCGTTTTCATTTACCTCACCTAGGCAGCCTCTTTTCAACTACAGGCAGCACAGATGGGTATGACAAAGGAAGTATCAGAAAGACAAGACAGGCGTTCACTGTTGGAATCTACTGCATTAACCATAAGGAATGGCGTCAGTGATTGGGCGGTAGACTGCTCGCCAACCACACACATGTTCCAGGAATCGACTCTCGCGCTCAACGCACTTCTCAGCTTCGCTAAACACACTAGTAAGGCCGGTAGAAAGGGAAGGTTGGGTTTGAAGCTAACAACCACACCCTGTAAAATACCCACCGTTACCGTGACTTGAAAGCTGTAGCTTGAAGCCCTATGTCCCACTCAGAAAGTAAAAGATTTTAAAAAAATCAATAAGCATAAGGAGTAAGATCCGAATTTTCAACCCTAATGTGGTCCAGAGTTTCATCAGTTGGATGTATCTGTACCACCTTTCACTGGAGATTGTAAGTACGCCCAGATGATGAATTCCAAACAGGACGAAATACTTAGTTTGCATTCCACCACTGCTTACCATCCACCAAACAATATTAATGTCATTAATATTTGAAGTTCTACATTACTTTCATTGGACACTAAGTAGTAACTAGTGTAATGCGTCTAGTGTGTCTAGTCGTTTGGTACAGATTGAATTCTATCAGTCAAGTTTGCAATATAGTCACCACACTAGATAGCTCACCATCATGGTGAACTCGGAATTGTTGTTATTAAATGGTTGGAGGCAGTTGGCACGAGGTCTTGATCAAAGTATCTGTTACAATCGTACAGAATGTCAGTTTTTAGACCGAATAACTCAGTGGTAACGTCTCTGACTGCAGTACTCATTGAGTGACACCGGTCTGAATCTCAGAAGTGACATGAGTTCCTTCAACATTGTAGGTACACCCTGCTGGCTCGTGATTACAGATAAGAACGAAACCTAGGTGTAGACAAGGCTTCCTGTGGCCGATTGTCTCCAGCCATCTAATAACAAGAAGTTCTACATTATTTTGATAGATAATAACAAGCTGATTAACGTTTAAGCGAAACTTTCTCCTATTTTACGATACTACATGATATACTGATATATAGGGTCAGCAATATTCAGGTTAAGCGTCGAGTGCTAGGTAGGGAGGGGAAACCAATCGACGAGGCTGTGAAGCTTCATCAACTGAGATGGTTAGGCCATGTGTTACGTATGCCTAGCCATCGCCATCCTCGACGGGAAATGTTAGCTGACATAGGGTCAGGCTAGAAAAGAGCTAGCGGTGGTCAAACCAAAACATATCTTCATCAGTCAATGAAATCCACAACAGTTAGTTTAAGCCGGCCACGTAGGAAGGTGCAGACTGACGGTAGAGACCAATGAAGGCTGGAGACAATTGGTGATATGGTTCAAAATTGTTCTCAATGGCTGGCGCAGATGCATCCACTCCTTGTGACTTACAATTTCCAATAAAACTATATTTTTATAAATGTTAGAGCATAACTCCATTATGGATGAGATTTTATTTTGATAAATCACACATTGTTGTGCAGTAATATTTACTGATGACGTTTCGAGCATAAACTATTGCTCATAATCATATCAAGTTATTGTTCTTCGTTATTACTATTCCTTTTGTCTCATATTCCTGTTTACTGTCTCTATTTTGCATTTGTTTATACTTTCTTCTCGTGCTTTGTGTGTTACATTGAGTGTAGTGACTCGAACTGCTGCAAAGTTCTATGTTGAAAAAAGACAGACAAACAACAGATGATGTACTTGTGTTATCCGACCAATTCTGTTTTGTTAGATGAAGGATTTCATCATGAGCTGACATCAGTTAGAGCACCATTGGAAAACCTGGGAGTACAAAACGGCCGTTTCGTCCTAGTTTGGGACTCTTCATCAGTACGCACCGACTCGAGTTCGAGCCCAGGACCTTCTGCCGATGAAGAGTCGCACACTAGGACGAAACAGCTGTCCAGCACTCCCAGGTGGTTTTCCAGTGGTTTTCTAACTGATGTCAGCTCATGATGAAATCCTCCATCCAATCAAACAAAATCCTTACAACTCCCAATACTTGACAATTCTGTTTTGATCCAGTCGCTAGTTTAAGCACGTGTACAGCCGTGCTGGACGGACGAGATTAACTGAGAAAATAATCAAGCTATATAATCTAACTTCTCTTCAGTGAAACTAACAAATTTACCTCCAATTCACTACAACACACATACACACACACAAAGGCAAATATGAATACATCTAACCCACATCATCCAGACAAAAAATACATAAATAAATGTGAATACTATTCACCATAATGATAAGGTTAAAAATAGAAATCCTTTTGTCCAAAAATTAATCACAAAATGAAATCTTATCGCCTTACACCTGTTCTTCATCTTTTGTTTCCCGTTTACTCCAAAATAGGTGAGAGAAAGGAAAAAGTTAGACAGAGGTAAATGCTGGCAGCAATAAATGAAAGAGTCAGTGAGTGAGTGAGTGAGTAGCTCTGTTCGATTTGAAAGTGACGGTTAAGGGGATTACTTTCTTTCTTCTTCATTCTCGTATTTATTTCCGGAGATAATTATTGTTATTATTATTATTACCATAGCATATATATATATGCCCAAGTATCTTTTGGTTTTATTATACCTACATGAATCATCAACCATAAAGGCTAAATCGTCTTCTCAGGCAAAAATGTATACACACAGAGAAAGAGAAAGACAGGTAATGCGGCAAAGAAAATAAGGAAAACAAAAGCAAAATGGAATAATAATAATAATAATAATAATAATAATAATAATGGCAGTAATACACACTAGTCAGTGAAACCAAGTGAATCGCCTAATCAGGCAACTCACGTCGGTAGAATCGGTAACAGCAATCCCATTAAACAAAACAAAATTAATCGAAAGAAGGGAAGTTGTCTGTCCCCCATGCCAACCACACATTCATTTGTATTCCTATAGCATTATTATTATTATTATTATTGCTATTATCATCGTCAGACAGGTCAGGGATACTTTCTTTTTGATGAATTCAATTCATAAGGTATTACTTGAACTTGACAATAGAAGAACATGAGTAGATTATGCAAATTAAATGATGATAATAATAATAATTAGTGAAGAAGTTAGTAGAGTATGCATAATTTGAAAAAAATAAACCAGGTAGTAACTGTAACACA